CCACTCCCATCCGGTCACATGGGCAGCAAGCCACTCCCACAAAGTAGGCCACACCCACAGAGTAGGTTCGAACAATTTTTGAAACCCACCACTGAATTAGATTGAGGACAATCCAAAAGGAAACTGAAGATACAACTCAAAAGGGTAAACCTCAAGAGTAGCACAAGATCTTTTAGACCAGGGGTGTCAAACACGTGGTCCACAGGCCGGATCTGGCCCCCTGGAAAATGTAAGCCATCGCTTCAGCCCAGCCTCCCCAATGTGAAGAGGAAACACTGGGCTAGCGTGGTTTTGGCCTAGTCTACCCAGTGCAAAGAGGAAATATGCCAGCAGTTTGGGGGAGTGGCGTCAAGCTGGCCATGCCCACCCAGTTGGCTACACCCACCCAGTTGGCCCAGCCCACCTGCCCCCCCCAAGGTCAACCCCAGCCCTGATGCAGCCCTCACCGAAATTGAGTTTGACACCCTCGTTTTAACTGTGTTAATTCCACTAGCTGCGAACTAGCTGTGGGGCAACCTAAATCCAGTGGAGGCAAGCCACTTACCTGAGCTGGCTCGATCATAATCCACTCCATAACCATTGTACATTGGAGACATTGGACCCATGGGGATCATGGTGCCTGGGGGAGCTGTTTTCAATGGATTGCTGGAGGCATAAATACTGGGTGCATAAACACTGGGGACTCCAGATGTTGCAGCTTTCCCTGCCATGTACACTGGAAAGACAAAGATTTCCAAATAAAGCTCTGGTGTTTGCTTTTTAAGAGACCTTGCACGTGGCAAAGTGGTACAGCCCCGAAGAACACCTGGCAGGGATTGCAACCCACAGTTACAGCCATTAACCTTGAGAATGTGATCCCTGGATGAAACTCGATTCCTTTGCAGCCTTCTGGGATTAATAATAGTGCTTCTTTTTTCAATTTAATGATCTTGGGTTGGGAGGAGGAGAAGGAGGAGGGCGTGGTGGTAAGGGATGCAAGTAAAGAATCACAGAATATTGATCATCTGTATGGGTAGTCCTTGACTTATGACTACACGGGCAACGTGACCCGACAAATGTGTGCACGACAAAAGCGTGCCGACAAAACCGTGGCGCGAAAACTGCTACGTCATCAACATGTCGACAACAGCATGCTGACAACAACGCGCCGACAGAAGCGCGATTTAAGTTAAGGTAAGGCTTAGGGTCAGGGTCAGGTTTAGGGTCAGGGTTATGTTTAGGGTTAGGGTTAGGGTTAGGGTTAGATTTAGGGTTAGGGTTAGAGTACGCTGTCATCGGCGCGGTTTAGAACTCGTGGTTTTGTCACCGCAGTTTCGTCAGGCGCGCTTTTGTCGGGCGCCTTTTTGTCAGTGAACCCTCGGGCAATAATGGTTCAAAGTTGTGACAGCACTGAAAAAGGGTGTCTTGCAACCTCAGAGTTACAGCCATCACACCACCCTCACAGTTGTAATTGTGATTTGAGCGCTCGGCAACCAGTTCACACTTCTAATAATCGCCGCAATTTGTAGTCACATGGTCATAATTCGAGACTTCCGACCAGCAAAATCAATAGGGGAAGCCAGATTTGTTTAACAACCCTGGTTTAAAAAAAATGCCCCTAAAATTGGGTCTGGTCATATGATGACTCATTTAGCGTCCAGAATTCCAGAGTCCTAATTGCGATCATAAAGCAAGGACTCCATTTATTTAAATGTTCTTGGAGAGCCGTTTTAAGCTTGACTGTAAATTAAAGCGTCAGAAACAAAACAGTGTAGCTTTAGACACACCCTGAATACACCCAGTTTAGGAATCCAGATAGCCAGTCTGAACTCTGTTTACTGCTGTAGTTCTGAGTGGGATGGCTTCCATCTACCCATCCCTCTCCAGCCAGGCCCTGCTAAGCATTTCCCCCTTAACTGTGGCCCTCTCAATGTGCTAAGGGACTACAGGACTTCCAACCAACACAGCTGGAAGTCGCCAGACTGTGGAACATGGTGAATATTTTGCTTGAATCCATGCGAATAGCGTATTTATTTCTTTATGTTTCTTCTACTTACAAGAAGAAGAACCTGTTCCTTGAGTCCCGAACATTTTGCTCGAATAAATACAAATAAATATATTCATTTCTTCATATTTCTTCTGCTTACAAGAAGAACCTGTTCCTTGAGACCTGTTTTGACCTAGGCTTCCCAAGAGTGTGAAGCAAACTCCTTGACCCAAAAAACCCCCTTTTATTAATTTACTGTGAATTCTGCTCATTCACATCCAGCAAAGTCTTTCAAGGGAGGATTTACAGTCACAGACCTTATCTGGCT